AGGTCTTTACTTCAAAATACTGAAAACCAGGATGTGTCGTTGTATATTTTTAGCGACAAATATTTGAATATTTGTCGCTAGAAATTAAATCCACCACCGAGAGCCCGAAATGTTTAATTGGAGCTAATTTTGTTGGAAGTTGGAACAATATAATATACCCACAATCACATGATACCATAATACCTACCTATACCATAACGTGAACCCATATATTCATATTTTGCAAGGATTTAATATTTTTTAAATGAGGTTTGGTCTCAATATTAATGCCTTGCAAAAATTTCTATCTAACTCTATTTTTAAATTGAAAACTATGCGTGATTTCAATAGACTGATAGACGTGATTAAATCAACATAGAATTTTACGCTGATCAACCTGAGGCCTCCAACGAATATTTCATATGGAATGGCAAATTTAATTCGATTTGGTCGGAACAACCCAAAACAGCAACCCTTTTACAAAAATTCAAAACTTGGCCACAAACTCATATCACATTCCACTATTCTACAAGTGACAAAAGAGAACACATTCCACTCTCCGCTACTCTCAGCATTCTACTCCCATCTGTCCCAATTATCATAGCAAAACAGTGACAATTCGTAAGCCTCAGCCGATCAAGATTTGGCATTGTAAATGTCATTGCTCTTCTTGGTTGTTTATCATGGCGAGGGTTTCGACGTCAAAATAAAAAACCCCAATTTAAAATCCCCATTGCCGTGCTATAATTTGTATGTGCAAGTATTTTGAATTCAATACAGCCAGCCAGCTACTCTCATCGACAAATTAATTGTTTTTTGTTTAAATGAAATAACATTTGAATTCCGGTTTCGTTTCTTTCGTTTTCGGTCATTGGTCGCACAGCAAATTACATGAATTGTCTGTCCGTCTGTCGTGTTATTTGATGACAAACGGCCGCCGTTTACTTCATTCCGACATTTTGCACTTCAATCCGACGAAGAAGACGAAGCAAGGAAAAAATGAAGGAAAAACCTCACCTGCTTACCGTTAAGTCTTGGAATTGGAGTTTTTGGGAGTGTTTTGTGGAAAAAAATTGTATATTTGTTGGCTGTTGTAAATGTGGATTTGTGTCATTCCGTTTGGCGAGTGTTGACAAGTTAGCGTTTTTATAACCTCCACGATGAAATGTTAAATAACTTGTTCTGCAAGAATTGTCAAGCAATTTCTTTCTCAGAGAGCAATGTAGTTTCATTCTCTCTGTAAACTGTAAACAGACAGCATCCCTGTAAAGATCTGCAAAAAATCAGCTGATTTGTCAAAACAAAATAATTTGCTGCCATAAAGGGAAACAAAGCACTCAAAATTTTTGTATTTTATTAAAAATAAACAAATTAAAAAGTATCAGTCGGGTTTGCCGACAGATGTATACCCTCAGCCAATGTTCGACTATTTAAATATATTCTGACTTCTATTAGGGTTATTCAAATTGTTCGCCCTCTATGGAGCAGAAGGAATGGGCTAATATTGTCCATTTCGTGTGGACCTAAATACATATGATATAAATATTGCGACGTGCCAGGTTTCGACTATATTGGATACTTCCTTCACTTTATATGAGATTTGTGATAATTTTTCGATAAATCTGTGACTTATTTCGCAAGTTATGACAGATAACAGTATTGAAAATGGTGATCCTTTGTGGGTGAGGTACCAGAAGGGGTTTGCAGATATATATCATCTTTAACAACAGATCTGGTGTTAGCAAAAATGTGTATATGTGTCTTTTTTCAAAATCTTGAACCCTATGGAGGACGTACCAAAAGAAATGTCCGATCTATACCATCTTCATAACCGATCTTGTTGATGGAAATATTGAGATATACCAAGTCTGAATGGAATCGATCGTTAATTTCGTGTTTCATGAGTTTCATGGATATCCAAAATGTTGTCCCCTTGTGCGGTAGGTACCAGAAGGAGCGGACCTATATATCATACCTTTACACCAGACCTTGAGTTAAAAAAAAAACTATGCTCATTTCGGATTTTATAATCGTTTTTGTTATTCAAAACTTTCACACTTTATTAGGGAGGTACCAGAAGGAATGGTCCGATCTCTACCATATTTAAAACAGATCATGTGTTTATGGATAAATTTGTATATACCAGGTATGAATGGAATCGGATGTTAATTTCACGTTTAGAAGCTCCAAAAATATTCAACATTTTGACCGTTTGTGGGGAAAGTACTAGAAGGAGTTGATCGATATATTCCATCTTCACACCCGACCTTGAGTTAATAAAAATACTGTAATGTGTGTAATTTGAAGACAATCGGACTCTTACATCACATTTTATAAGAGTTATAATTATTCAAAATGTTTGCCCTTTGCGGGGAAGTTACTGGATGGAGTGGACCGATATTGTCCATTTTCGCACCTGAAATAGCACTGACGCAAATATTAGGATTTGTAAAGTTGGGCATCGTAATATCTGCTGATATCTAACAATAATAGCACAGAGAGTAATACAGGAGATGTTTAAATTGAAAAATTAAATGTTCTGTTCTGGGATATATTATTTTCCAGCAACTTAGTCACAACATGCTATTTTTATGAATAATTCATTGAGTTTGATTGTATGTTTTTGCTTACTTATGCCCTGAATAAAATCAAAATGCGAGTCTTATGAGTAGACAAAGCACAAACCACTTTATAATCATTTTTTATACCCTACAACACTATGTGTTGGGGGTATTATAAGTTTGATTGGGCCAAAAATTATGTAACACCACGAAATATTGGTTTCCCATATAGGAAAGTATATATGGATCATCCTAGCTCGCCGAGTTGAGTCGATCTAGCTATGTATGTCCGTCCGTCCGTCTGTCCGTCTGTCCATGTTAATTTGTAATCACTCTACAGGTCGCAATTATGGCCCGATCTTCACGAAATTTGGAATGGAGGTCGGGGTTGGGCCAGAATAGAACCCTATTTCTTTTTGAGATGATCGCCAAATGTTTAGGGGTTGAAATGGACCAAATACTGAAAAAATGTCTGATTTTGCAGTAGCTATACAAGTCGCAATTATAGACCAATCGACGCGGAATTTCGCATGTAGCTAGAGTTTAGGACGGGGAAGAAGCCTACCAATTTGGGCGGTCATCGGATAATATTTAGCGGCTAAAATAGACCATATATTTTGTGTTGAAAAAATTCAACATTTTTCATTAAACCGCGAATATTTTAATTCCCGGCGAAATCACAAAGCCATGACAAGGTTACTTCTGACCTTTACATTGATGTTAACATCCAACAAATCGGATATATAGCAAAATATGTTCGATATATATGTCTATCAAAGAAGATATGCTTGAAAGATCCCTTATATGTCGAGAACGGCTGAACTGATTTCGACAGTTCTCATTAATTCAGAATGGCCTCTTGGCAGGAAAGAAAAAACGTCTAAAAAAATCGCATAAAAATATCTCTCTAAAGATGAAAATATTCATTTTGTAAAATTTTCTCATATTTTTTCAATTTTGTCATATTTTTGGCATATTTTCATTTTGAATTAAACATTTGGTAATATTTCTACAGCTAACAAAACTAAGTAGTTATGACATCAGAATATCATATACAGATCGCATTTATGGCCCGATCCTTACGAAATTTTGCATGGGGATAAGATGAGGGCCAGAATAGAAGCCTACTCTTTTTGGAGATGATCGCCATATATTTAGGGGTTGAAAAGTTGCTATTATTCGAAAATTAGAGAACGAAACCTGATGGTTTTCTTTTATAATTTGTCACAATATCTTGTGGAATTTTTTCGAGTATCTCGCCTATATAAACTGTATCGTTTATTATAGTGTTGTAGGGTATTCAACGGTCGGCCCCGCTCGACTGTAGCCTTTGCTTACTTGTTTTATTTTAAGATGTTCGGCACGAACCGTTCAAGTAGTTGATAACCACTTTGAAATTATTATCTTAAGCAAAACAAATGGAATTGTATTTTAGAGATTGTTGTTGACTTAATAATTCGCAAACGTATTTTTCTAAATTCAGCAAAAATATCTTTTTCAGTTGATATTTTTTGAATTTGAATAATAAACAAATGTAACTATCACAATATTTGTTTATTAATAAAATGCGGAAAACTGAAATGGAATGAACAGATGTCGTGCATTATCTAGAGAATCGTTTTTGTTATTCTGATGTTCATTTTATTTGTAAACAAGTAAAAAAGCTGTAAGTTCGGTCGGGCCAAAAACAATTTTAAAATTTTCAAAAAAATAAAATCCGTTAAAAATTCTGTTAAAATTTGAAACAATTCCGATGAATAATGTCGCTAAAATAATCAAAATACCGAATATCAGGAGGTACCGTTATATGGGGTCTATAACAAAACGTGGACCCACATGGCCCAAAAACTCCTGCAGACATAATATACTAATTCAAACAATTTATTCACATTCTTGACAGATTTTACCATTCTATCCTATTTTTTTGACTAATTCTGTAAATATTTTGCATTTTTGGACATAGTTTTTACTTAAACTTCTTCTATTTCATTGTTGCGTGCCTTTTCTGTTCTAATTAGGCGATTTTCATTATGCAATCTATTGGCCACACTGACATTAATTCGCCTCATCGATAGTCAATACAAACAAAACAATATCGTGAGTTGAGAGGATTAAGCCACGCTCAATGTGAGTGGGAGCCCCCCAAAAATGAGAGAAGAAGAGAATGCAAACAAAGATCTCACATCAATGAGAACACGTGCAGCTAGTTTTTCGTACAAGTTTTGCCAATTGGCTGGCTTGGTGTTTCTTGTTTTAAACTTTGATATTTTCAAAACCCATTGATTCCAAATTGAAGTTAGCAAATATCTGCTAACATTTAAAAGGTTAAATAAAGACATTTTCGTTGTGTTTTTTTTTTTTTTGTTTTGTTTTTACAACATAGAGTCATCATCTTCTTTAGCGTCGTAGAGCCAGTCTTCTTCTTCTAGCACATACTTGCACATATGTACATATATCTACCTGCAGAGTGTTAATAAAAAATAAATCCAAACATTAGCAGCGAAGGTCTTTGGGGCCATTAAAGTCATTCGCAGTGTGAAGAAACTCCTTAATTAAGCCAATTTTAAAGTTTACGTGTCTGATGGACAGGCGATAAAACGACGGACGGACGGACGATAATATAGCGCCAGAGTCAGTTAGTGGGTACCATAAACTTCAGAATGCGTATCGCGTACTGAACTACATTTGTTTTTTACAAACAATTTTTTTTGAAGGGCATCCGATGACGCTGATGGTTGCGATAATGACGATGATGATCATCATCATCCGTGGCATGATAAGGGCAACGATGACAAAATCATTTCTGAGTAATTCTGGTCTAAACCGAAATCCCCCACGAAAACAGGCCACCACAATTATTTTTCTTTTTGTTTTAAGGTTATACGTCAATTGTTTTTAAAATTTAAATATCATCAGTGCTGTTTGGTGTTTTGAACAAAATAATTGAAAGTGAAAACCATTACAATTGAAGACGACGCGATGATGATGGGGCGTACAGTTAACTGAAGAAACAGAAGAAGAAGTAGAAGTAGAACACCAATAAGTAATTGCCATCATTGTTTTTTGTTGGAGGCTTCCAAAGCCATAAAAGAGCAAGTGTAGATTTCCATAGCATTTTAAATGTATGAAACAAAAGAATATTAGCGGCGTCGAATTGATTTGGCCCTCAGGTTTCTTAAACGAGGCATTGAAAATAAATTTAATGACATGTGTATGGAGATTGCACAGTGGTTAAAAATGATACTTTGGGAAATTTTGTATACCCTTTAGCATGTAAAAGTCAAAATGATTGTGAAATTGAAAGACCTAAAGTCTTGGGCTGTCTCTTAAGTCAAAACCTCTAAAACACTCAATTCGGTGGAAATTGAGGCTACCCCTTTCGAAATATCCATAATGTGTGTTTGTCGTTATTAGGGGGGTGGGATGGGTTTCGCAAATAGAGATGGAATTGGAATATTTTTTGTGAAAATATTTTCTACCCACAAATACAGGGTGACATAAAAAAACTGCACTAAAGTCAAATGCCATTTAACATTTACATTATTTTCTTTAAATTTTATTGAATGAAAGCAAAAAATTTCGGAGATATTCTAAAATTTGATTTAGAATAAGTTTAGATTTGTTCGAATTGGTCACCTTTGGCACGAATTATGGCCTTCAAAACGGCCAATTAAACCGTCACACGCTGCCCGAATGTTGCTCTACGGTATTTTGGCCCATTCCCGACAAAGCGCTTGCTTGAGGTGATCGACACTTTGGTATTTTTTAGTGCCAACCTTGCTTTCCAAAATACTCCAGACACAATAGTCCAACGGATTGGTATCCGGAGATGTTGGTGGCCTTTGTGCGCTGGAAATGAAGCGACATTTTGTAACCATTCTTGGGTGGCGCGTGCTGAGTCCTGTTGGAATGTCCAAGGTCTGCGGCCAAAATGTTTGCGTGCCCAAGGCTTTAATGCACCCTCCAGAATATTTTCGCGATAATATTCGGCATTTATTCTGATGCCACGGTCAATTAATACGAGAGCGACCATCGGCTGTTAGGGCGGCCCACACCATCGCCATGGCCGGCGCTTGAGTTCTGGTAGCCAACCGAAGGTGCACATTTCAGCTGACCTCTTTGGGGGCAAGTAAACACGATTATTTTCTTCGTTTACAAACTGCAGGACAACGAATGTTTCCTCATCAGAGAAAACCAAATTGGGCAGTCCACCACTTTCGGCCAAGCGAAGCAACTCTTTAGGTCTTTTGAGTCTATTTTCTTTCTTGCACTTTTTGGAATTTCAATGGCTTTCCCTGAGCTCATTTTTCAATATTTGCCAAATGGAATATTGCGATAAGTTCAGCTTACAAGCCATTTTTCTGACACTGCGAGCGATGGTACGAGACACAAAAGATTTATTCACATTTAAATGCTGGAGTGCTCTAACGATAGCCACTTGTGGTTTTCCAGCCGAATATAAAGAAATCACACTATCACGCTTGAATTCCATCACAAATAACTTTTTTTCTGAAAAAATCTCACCAAAATGCTTTTGTACGTTTGTAAACAATATAATTAGCTGTCACTGGTATAATTGTAACAGCTGTCGAACGAGTGGCTTAGAACTGACAGCAGTCTGAAGTTGGTTGCAGTTTTTTCATCTCACCCTGTATACATACCCTCAAATTCCGATCTCTCAACGAATAGCAGCAAATTCACTTCTGTATACCTTAAAAAGCTTCATAGAATAAATTTCTTTGCCATTATAATTTTCACTTATGATTTATTTATATTTTATTTCGAATTTGGAAAACGGATTAGAAACACAAAGATAATATCAAAAAACACAAAAATGCATGTCAAGAACAAAAGATTATTAACAAAGCAAAATTCAACTTCGTTCTTTTGAAACAAAAGAAGACGCCCGTTGATCGTCAAAAAAAAAGTAGGTAGTCGGAATGTCAGCGATGCCAGTGATAAAGAGTGAAATTTCAAACCCCAGCCGTAAACTGGATTTTATGGTAATTATATACTTGGGCGATGCGAGAGTCGGAGACAAACAAGCTATTAATTTATGCCATCGTTAAAAAATGCTTTTTATATGAATAAAATAAAATTATTAAACATGCCATCAGCAGCAGTATTTGAAAACATCCAAAACGAGTAGACGAATGGGAAATAGTTGAAATTAAACTTTTTATTTTTCTATGAGGTAAAGTCATATCCGTCCGTCTAGAGGTAGCATCCAAAAGAATAAAAATTGCTGAACAAAATGGCACTAATGTGTCTTTTGTTTTAGTCAGGAAATTTTTTAATGATGAAGTAAATTAGTCGACCAACAACAGTACGTTAAATGTTGAGGATTTTGATATCCAAAGCCAATTTTTGTTTTCCACAAATCAGGAAGGGTTTGAAACAAATTGCATATCATATTCTTTACTGACTGAATGACCCTTTAGAATTAACTTATAAACCTTAACAAAACCATTACGTTCGACTAAGTCTAATGTTGGGCATTGGCCCATTTCGAACGTGGACCAAAATTTGACTTTTGGATTTTTGCCTTTATCGATTTGGTCCAATCAGCTAGACATCGTTTTCGAAGTTTACTTCTCTTTTTTTATTATTATTATTATTATTTTTTTTTTTTATCACCCAAAAAATTGATCAAAAGCCATTTGGACATTTCCATACTAAAAGTCATTTCAACAAAAGTAAAGTCTCCTACTCTTAACCTTTCATTTAATTGTCTTATTGTATTGTGCATTGTAATTAGATGAACACCGGCGTTCACTGTTAGTTCGAATCAGGTTTCCCATTTTGCACTCTACAAATAAATTTATAAAAAAAATCTTACAACTGTTTGAGACAGATGCAAATTGTCAGTAGAAATAACAAATAATGCCAACTGATGGCTTAATAACCAACAATTTATGCTAAAATTGTAATAATTTCTCACAAATCTGCCTCCAACTCCTTATACCGATTTTCACATCGTGTTATGCTCCAATACAGCAAATGGGGTACTAGAAAGAAAAGCCGATAACTTCAGGTAAATATCTGAAACTCAAGAACCGTTAACAGCTGTAACATGTTATTACCATACGTTGGCAACAAAACCAACAACAACAGCAGCAGCAGCAGCTACCAAGACACTAGTGTCCAGAAAGATTACAATTGATATTTTCTTCTTATGTTGTTGTGTTTGTTGTTAGTTGGCATACACCAACGCCACTGGGTGGAGCAGCTTTTTAGCTAGGCACCAGCCAGCCACATCAAGACTCGGCTGTTGTCCACTGGAACAGGTTTTGTTTGCACATTTTCCCTTTAAATGTGAATTAAATTAACCGACCACCTTTCCAAATGCTCGTGGAGAAGAGGCAGAGGGGAGGAGGAGCGGAGGGGCTGAGGGGCTGAGGGGCTGAGGTATGAATGACTTGTGTTACTTCATGTGTAGGTACTTAACAATCTGTTGCTGTTGCCAGTCGAGCAGAAGTATTGTCTTTGCAAAATTTGTTATATGACATAAAAGAGCAAGGAGTGGGGGAAGGAGGGATAGCGGAGAGGGAGTTGAAGCATTTGCCTGCTGTTATAGTTCGTTTTATTGCTTTGCAAATTGATATTCTCTCTTGCCGTTGAATTGGCTATTCCATATGATTGTTATATGTACCGGTCGACCTTGTCTAGATCTACTCTATTTTGTTCTGTTTGGACTCTTTCTTCCCCCTCTTCAATTCATTGGTTTGAAGTTAGCTACTTCATTTGTGAACTTTGATTTGTATCTCTTTCACAGCTTACAGCAATGAATGACAAGATGTGGAGGGTTATAAAATAGTAATAATATAGCTTTTTATGACTATGGTCACGAAACTAAAAGACCTGACAATTACACATAATTATTTTTTGTAATGAAACCAGTGACAGTTTTCTAAGAAGGGGAATATTCTGGGAACTGGAATTGTGAGGAGAGATAAGTAGAAAATTCTGTAGTAAAAATTAGAGAAAAGCTTATAATTTTTGCAAGAAATTCAAAATTTTCCAAAGAAAAAAAGGGAAGCTATCAAAGCAAATTTTTGAAAAAATGTGTGAGGATTAAAAAAAATCTAAATAATTTGACTATAGCCTTTGAAGCCTTCTAAACTTATAACCCATTAGAATTTTCCCTCTACCATATTATGGAGGATATATATAGTTTATTTAAATAATCATCTTAGACCTGGAAATATATATATTTTGGTCAGCCAATCCTAAGTAATTGTACCCTTTTCCGTCCATACATAGTAATTATACTGACATCCAATCGAAATATGAAACTAACTAACTTCGTTAACTTCCGGCAGATCAAGTTTAAAGGTAGACAATATCGGTCCAGGATTGTATTCCCGATCTGAGGTTAATTGGAGCTTTTGGTAAATTTTCCAAACAGATGAGGTTGGTAACCTATATACAAAAAAATTAAAAATAACAGTCGGTGATTTTGGGTACAGCTATCATATAATGGTATTTCGGATTTTTAATGAGCATGCCAACTCCATATGAAACAAGTAAAAAATCTATACCCTCCACCATTCGGTAGGAACTTGAAAATTTTCAAAAAAAAAAAAAAAAAAAAACAGCCGAAAAATACCGCTCAAATGAATGCCTTTATATGCAAGCTATACAAAGACATGGTGCTGCATAAGTAATTTTGTCATAGGCTGTAGTAACGATTCCGAACTTTAAATACGAAATAATACAGATCTGCTGAATAATGTCGCTAGTATAATCAAAATACCGAATATCGGAAGGGGTGCTATAGAAAGACGTGGACCTGCGCACACAATTTTCTGTCTTAGGCTGTAGTATCCAAATTTGAAACAATTCCGGTGAATAATGTCGAAAAAATCATCAAAATACCGAAAATCGGGAGGTGCCGTTATAAGGGGCCTCTACGAAGGCATGGACCTGCAGCGGACAATTTTCTGTCATAGTCATAATGTCATAATATGTAGTATCCATTACGAACTTTAAATACCAAATTTGAAAAAAAAAAAAAAATACCGAAAATAGGGAGATGCGATTGTATGGGGGCTATACCAAAACGTGGACCTACGTGGCCCACTTCAATACCAAAAGTCCTGCAGACATAATATTTGAGTAAAATTTTACCAACCTACTTCATTTCGTTCCGAAGCTAGAGTGATTTCCACAGACGGACAGACGGACGGATATCGCTAATTCGACATAGAATTTTATGCTGATCAAGAATATATATATTTT